CTTCACTGTGTCGGGAAACAAAGAGAGAGGGAAATGTTCAAAACCGAGGAATTGAAAATGATTAATTTGAAATTGATGAGGTTGGGTGGTACCGCTTGAGCGGTATTTTCGGTGCGCTGATGATGTATAATATTAAATCATTCTCCCATTTACGGCTCCTTTCCGTCGTCCCTGTGCCTACCATTGCCCTCAAAGGGACTCACTCATTCATCCATCCTGACGGCGTACTTTATCCTTTCAGCCTTCCATACTAATTCCCATCATTTCTTCCCCAACCAATTTAAGGCCTCCCAGAAAACTGAAAGACGGAAAGTGCCTAATCAGTGAACACTCATTCTTAGTCACTTATTGTTAAAAAGGAGGAAGCAGAAAGGTCGGGTAGGAGGAGGCTTCATCACCCGAGAAATGGACCCCACTATAACGATATGAAGAAATGATGGGTTCTCCTAATTGAGCACGAGAAAAGGTTGTAGCAAAGAATTGTTCAACTTCAACTTCAGCCGACAGGATTCTCGATTGTGCAGATGAGATTAGGAATGTGCTGTAGAAGAAAGCGCTGCGATCACGCATTCGGGAACGGTCTCGAGCTCTTCTCCTTCTGCTTCCGTTCAATTTTTGAAGTGAAGTGGTAGGAAAGACTTCTTCATTCATTTACGAGAGCAAGTGATCATTTCATTGCTTTGCTTGTTTTAGATTGAGAAGAGCCATTGATCACACGTCCTTCCTTCCGATCTGTCAACCTCCACTCTTTTCTGTGTCACCTACTTTTTATAAAGTCAAAATGAAATGAGGAGGATAGATTTCCGAGCAAATCACCCTCCACCTATTCAAATTTCAAAACTTCCTCCTTCCTCTCCACGCTGCACCGTTCCATTTTCATTTTCATAACCTATATTGATGTGATGCTGAAACAAATTGCCTGGTTGCAATCAATCTGACTTGGCCTGTTTCTCTGGCTCCAATAACTCATCTTCATGATCCATCCGTATCCTTTTGCCTGAAAGCATTTATGATAATCGACCGGTAAGGAAGAGAAACGAGTGGTGAAGGATAGAAATTGTCTGAAGAGAATGAGTGGAGTGTGAGAGGAGCAAAGGAAAAAATATTAAATTAAGTAAAAACTAAAATTGAACAATGAAAGATTCGATTAGAATGGACCGTAAAGATAGAAGAGAAGTGAGTGCAGATGAGGGGAGAGAGAGAGAGAGGCGAGAAGGCTAATTTTCATTTATTAATGCTCATTAGGTGCAAATTAAATGCTGCTAAGTGGACTTGATGGAAAGCTATTAACATGGTAAATCGAAAAAAATTTCCTCACGAGAGAGCGAGAGAGAGTTTTTTTAGTTGAAATAAGGTGAAATGGGTGGACAAAGGGCAATAGGAGGAGACGAGATCTTAGGCTGCTTTTAATGAATAATCATTTAATCGGTGCATAATTGAGTCGATTACGGAGGCAAAAAGCACTTAGCTTACTAGCTGACATGGGTGACATGCATATGCATGAACACAGATGGTGGTGAGTGGACGATCGACCGATCGACCGATCGAGCAACCAGCCAGCAGTATCAGTTTCTCTTTCATTCATTATCTCAAGTGATATATTATTTGTTCATTTTGAGGATCCATTCTGTACGCTTCTTCCAGACGACCTAAATGGCGTGTAATCTTTTTCTTACCTTTTAACTGCACTCTTTCTATTCATTTGAGAATTCTCATACCATTTTGCTTCATCGTGCTTCATCGTCACCTGTCACAGCCACTCTGATACGGGAAGGATTTGGTACAGGTTAATGCGTCACGCAAGTGCAATAATTCATTTTATGATATATGTGGAAGTGTGTGATATGATAAGACTCTCTGTTAATGGAATTCGGTCCTCATTCCAATGATTGTTAAATGATTTTTCCAGAGAAATTGCAAAATGGTTACCGTGCGAAACGAGCCTTCAGCTTTCTTAGGAATGATCTTAAGTGAAAAAAGTATTGCTTATTTTCGGTGACAAGTTAGACAGGTTGTATCGATAGCAAAGAAATTAATTAATCAGCAAATAATTGAATGCGCCATCAGATCTGTTGCTTCATTTTTCTATCGGATGTTTTCAGCATTGGTCCTTGTTAACAAATTTATTGAAATCATTTTCTCAAATGAAATATGGAATTGATAAGAATGAAGAAAGTTCTAAATGTCCATCTATTTCATTACGGAATTATTTTATCACTAATGAGATTCAGATAGAAGACAGTAAAGTTTAACGACTGATGGTTTTTAGATTTGAATATGGAAACCCGTTTGCTGTGATTATAATTTAAGTAATGTCAGTTTACATTTAAGAATGATGAAAAGTTTTTGTGAAGACAGGGACCGAGATGTCTCAAAACCGTATGGAATTAGGCCCGTTCGTTTTTATTAGAATGCATCCCTCTCGCAGGCTTAGTTCCAATTTTTGAAAGCACACTCGTTTGGAAATAATTTTCTTTTGGATGCTTTTTGGATTGTACACTGCAAAGTAATCATGTCATAAATTAGATTCTTGAGAAAAATATTACCATATGAAGGAAATACTTTTTTCTTTTTATTAAATTCGCTTTGCTATAAGTGTAACATTTAGTGTATTTATGGAAATAAGCCTAGCTGGCCAAGGCCAATCGTAATTCAAGTTCATATACAGTTTTCCTCTAATAGAAGTATATGCGGTTTTGTCTAAGAGTCTAGTAACTTAGCAAGAACTTTGGTACGGCAACAAGATCCTGATTAAGACTTAATTTTTGATTACGCTTTTTCATGATAATTTAGATTAGGTAATTACAGCATGATTAATTAGCCGTTTCCATTACAATGTTCACTTGACCTCCTTGTCATACGCGGTGTACGGTACGTTTTTGAAGACTTTGACGAAGCAGGCGGTGTATTAAAAGGTTTAAATTCAATGAAGCTTTAAATTTAAATAGTTGATCAATATTTGACCAAGCCTTGTTAACAACATTTTTTTCTCCAAGTCATTTGCAAAACATCATTAAATTGATATCATTATTGGCTATGGAAATGTAATTATGAATGCTTTTTGCTTCAGATTCTAATTATTCCTTTCTTTCTATAGACGCTTAATTTTTAATAAGCATTTGTCTAACATTTCATGCCGAATGTTCGAATTAGTCATTGAAATGTATGGTGGTTCAAGCAGAAATATTTTTTATCCACAAAATTTGGCTTTTCCATGAATGCAACTCTATCCTATTTTTTAATTTCGGTTCACATATATTGACAGAATTATTCATCAGTTCGGAATTCAGGAAATGTATAATCTGAGAGTTTTCTGACAGTTATTAAAACTGAATTTCGAATGGATTGCTTGGAAAATTATTAATGAGTGCACCACAATATGCACCTTCCTAAATTGTGCCACTGGAAAGTTGAAATTTCACTTTGCAATCCTTTATATCACGAATGATAGCTATAATAGCATTTAGGTAAGAAGAAGATGACTTTCACACGTCACAGCAAACATATGAGTTCGTGAAGTGAGTATAGGAAAGACCAGACATGAACATGATAGTGTCCCGAAAGTAACAAGGTCATTATTTATCACTTTTCTCTTACAATATCATATCTGCAACTCGATCCATCTACAGGTTCTTTATAGGGATATTGCTTTAACGAAAAGTGAATGGTTGAAAAATTAGAATTTTGGTGCATTTAATTCCTTCCAGTTCAATTTAATATTTCTAATTGAAAAGTTAAAACATTAAAGTTTGAAGAAAATGAAAGAGTGAAGGAAGATGAGAGAGAGAGAGAGAGAGAATAGTAGTCGAGATCGATAGAAGAAAATGAAGGAAAGAGGCGAATTGACGTTTGACGAGTTTATTTGATTTGATATTGAGCTAAATGGATGGAATCAATCTCATTTTATTGATTATCCAAATTAGGCCAATTTGCATTTAACTTCGTCACCTCATCCATTTCATTCCTATTCTATTTGCGAAAAATATTTCTGTCGTTTGCAGTAGCATAGCCGCAGCAACCTTTCTGATTTTCATTTCACTCACTTTTTTCTAATTTTGAAAAATGAACTTTAGTGGTGGAATTTTCAGCGTACTTCTTCTCAGAAGAAATATTAGATTTGTTCATTAAATCCAGAAGAAGCAAATTTCGCTCTGTCAGTCTTGTTGGCCTCCTTTATTTACACTTATCATTAGAGAAGTTAGTGGATAGCGAACTTCATGAAGAAAGTGGCTTTTAAACCGTCTCTCTGACTGTGAAAATGTCAAAGAACTTGCATTTGGCTATCAAATCAATAGGTGTTAAATTTTTTGGAAGGTTTTAAATGCACAGAATGATTGGCTTTGAGCCGCCTCTGAATTCCGCGCGAGGAAGAATGATGGAATTCAGAAGTCAGTCATCGTGTCAACATGTGGTTTCCACACGCAACGTTGACAGTTCGTGTTCAACAGAAACCGTTAACGCAGAAGAAGTCTATCCGCTCTATTCCGCTGACCTGACAAACCGAGGTCAGGATTGAATTTGAATCTCCACTTATCATCCACTTCCTACCCTCTTCTCTGATCAATCCGTCCTTTTTCTACCGTAATTGAAAAATCCTTGTAAAGATTAACTTCCAAATGCAAATGAGTCCTTTATGTCACTCAAATTCGTTTAAATCAAAAAACATTCATCACCAAGGATCGAATTATAAATGAGCCCCGTGGGCAGGTAATCAAAGAGGTAAAAAGCTGTCAGATTGCGAGATAATTACCATTTTAGTGCTATTTTTTCCCTTTCTTTTTCAAAATGTGATTTTCTCTGTTTCTATTCTCCATACAATTCTAAAATTGACGATAATTTTATATTTTTCTATATTTTTGAAAAGAAATTTTGCTGTAACACAATTTTGTCAGTCCAATTAAACTTTGTATAAACGTTTTTGCCATTCATGCGACAATTATAATATCAGTAAAACGAAGCTCCATCGGTGTCGTTCGTCAAATCCTGAAAAAGTGCCTCTCTAATTAAGTTTGTTATATCGATAAGGCGGACAAGTGAATGGTTGTCAACGAATTCGAATTGCCTGTTGACACCATTCCTGTCAGCACTTATCAGTTTGGGATACAGATTGGTAGAGATGACAGATAAACAATTCAGTGGCTTATCACTTTGGTTCAAAATTTTTATCAGTAACTGTAATTACTCGTCTGCGATTACCCTGGTTTTCGAGGTTATCATTGTTAGTTATCATTTGAGTGCGACATCGCTATCCCTATCATTATAGTAATTATTGATGTGACCTAACGGTTTTGTAGTGTTACAGTGGAGTTATTGCTAATGCTTTCCACATGAGTTTGTTTATGAAAATGTTGTCGATGATAGGATTGGGAAATGGAAACCATTTGGTGAAAGATGAATGGGCAAATGGAACATGAATAGTTATAATATTATAAAATCATTCACTTTATGTTTGCCTGGAAGATATAGCGTTTGTTGGAGCTATAAATCAAATAATATTTAAAAAACATAATCATAATATTTTAATGGATCTTTGGATGATGCCTTCCACAATGTATTCCTTCCATATGCGCCATTTGATTTAATGCTTGTTGTCATCCAAGCAGCCAAGCCAACTCCTTCCTCCTTTCATTTTCCCCATTGAGAACACCTACGTAAAAAGTAATTTTCCTAATAGTTTACAAAAAATTATAGCAATTAATTATCTTCTATCTCCATCAAAATTTTCATTATAAATAAAAAGTGGGAAGTCACTGTGCCACAATTTTAAACATCCGTCTATTAATTTCTCACATTTCCTCCAATTTTCCATCTCTCACACGAAATTAAAATGCTGATTCTCTGCGCTCATATTTAAACGAGTAGTTGTATTTCTTGCAAGGCAAATTTCACTGAAAATTTTCGGTACGGAAGTCTGAATTGAAAGAGATCGCGGCACAAATTTCATTCATACTGCTAATATTCCAATTGTTTTCCAGCAGATCCTTCAGATATTTTCCATTCCAATTTGAACCTGTCATCGTACGAAAATGTCACTTCAAGACAGTACTTACGGTCACGAAACAGGCTAAAGTTATCAGAGCCAATACGTGAAATCTGTTGATTGATTATTGAAAAGTTTGCAATACTAACTTTAAATCTTTCATTAAGATTCTTTATGGATCTTTTTCTCACTTTAGTAGCCTTAATGGACGAAGAAATTAGAGATGAAAAGTAATTATTTCACTTTTCTTCTGTTCATTGCAAAATATTTTTTCCAACAACAGCAAATACGTATTTTGCTTTTTATTCATCTCACAAATTTTCAATACACTAATCTTAGGACATTGCGAGGTTAGCAATTATTTTTGATTTTGAATTTTTGAAAAGCAACAAATGAAATGTCACTGAAGACATTTATTTACATCTAAATCATTGTATTTTGTCCTCGAGATCCCCGAAATAGTTCCATTATGTCTAAAGTGAGTGATCCTTCGAAATGGTATAAGTTATATTCAATTTTCGCTTCTTTTAATTTTGCCACAAAATTTTGACTGTTACTGCATCAGAGTTCGAACGGAACGTAGCACGTGTATCATCAAGCAAGTGAACTGATTTAGTAGTTTTCGATTTCCTACCGACATCCTCAATCCTTTTGGGAGTTGTTATTCGTGCTGTGTAAATGAGACTTTCTGTGCTCCCTTACTTATTTAACCACTAAAATAAATAATATAGCAAAATATGCAAATTATTACCATTTCGGTGACAAACTGGAACATTAATTGGTTAATTACTAATCTAAAATGATACAACCCGAAGGAAATTTACTTGTACAACATGACTTGAAGTAAATTTGGGTCCAGCTGTCTCAATAACTGATTTAAATTGAATTAAAGCTTTCGGTTTATTTGATAGAAATTATCATGCGAAGTCATTCAGTGCAATTTAATATGCCAGCAATGATTCTGTTCTCTGTTGGACTGAACCATCGGTGAGATATTCAGTCTGTATTCTGTTTTTTGCCTGAACTCATTATCAGTAATTGAGGACTTGATAGAAGAATTGGATTCAGGTTCGAATTATTGTCAAAAGCATAGCGAAGATCCTCTGGGAGCAAATTGGCGTGCAAAATCTAAAGTTCAAAGTTCATTTAGATGAAGATGAAGTGACTCGAAATCAGTTAGATGACGTATAACTGGGCGTATGCTGACGCTTTTATTTTATTAGCACAGACAGCCAACCTCAAATTAACGTGTGCCTTAAGGCCGAATATATTTCCAAAAGTATTGGTTGTCACCTAAATTTGCTACGCCCCACTTAAGCTAAATATTAAAGCAGTTAGAAGTGTAATTAGTCGTTCCTCGCAGCAGCAATATTACCAAAAACCGGCGAGTATGCACAATTATAGCTCAAAGCCTAGATTATATCTTCTCTCTCTCTCTTTCTCTCTCTTTCTCTCTGTTTCCGAAATTTCATTTTGTGATGCTTTTATGAAACACAATTGTTGGCTATTATTATTTTTATGACACGAATCAGTAATAGTTAAATTTAAATTTATTAAAGATGCAAAAAAAGATTGATTTTTTTCTGTACTTTATGATTTAATTTTTAAATTATTTTGATTTTTATTCAGCAAGGTAGAATATTGATGGATTTATCACGAAGTTAGCTGCACTGAAAGTATGGCAATAAAATCTTTATTGATTTCAGTGATCTCTTATAAAACGTTGTAATTTCGCATCCTAAAGTACAAATTAAATAACCTGGCCTGGAAAGAGAATTTTTAGTTTACTACATTATGAGATCAATTAGTAGTTGAGTTTCAACTGACTCACTTGAAACCGAATTCAAACAAATTTTTCGCTATCTGTGATGGGATGGTTCTTGTACAGTTCACATCGTACTCAGGCCTGAATGGATAGCAGAAAACCGGTCCTGCTCATATTTGTTCACTACTTTAGGATCCGAATTATAGTTAAGAGCATTAATTTTTACTTTTTCGTACGAGTGCCAAATCCCTTGTCTGCCTAATTACAAGTGTCAATTTTCGACTCATTCCAGGAAATTTCCTTCAATGCATTCTATTTTCCAGGAGATCGTCCATGAACGATCCTGTCGTCGGTTGGCGAAATGTTCAGTCCTATAATCGATAAGATGTCTGTACAGTGCGCATTCCAGGTTAGTGAAATTTAATGGTGCTATTGAAATTTAATTAGAGAAGCAAGCAAGCATGGTGATTAGCAATTAATTTTTGATAATTCGAATGAATATGTCAACGCATTCAATCGCATAAAACGATTCAGAATTCTTCTCAAATGTTCGAGCACTTTTTTGACCATGCATAGCCCCGCCAAGATCTGAATCTGTTCCCCGATTCTGATTAAATTAGAGGGAAGGGATTTCTGTCACCTGTCATCCATCAAACATTTAGCATCATTTGAATGGCATTCTTAGCATAATTTCACTACTAAACAAATTAGCGGATCTGAGGGACATTTAGATGGAGCTCCTCCTTTCGCATCAATTATTTATTCTCTGTTGAGTTGCCCATCCCACCTCGATTTCATATGGAATGTGTGTCTTTCGTCCATACTCAACAATTCAGCCATTTCCGCTCTAACTCTAAAATATGCTTCGATGAAGTCCTCTACGGCTATCAGGTCAGCATAGTCACCTATGTTTCTTAATCATTAGTAAATAATCTTGAAAATTAGCCTTATCACTTATCATATTTCCTAATGGTTAACATTAAAATTCATTAAATGCTTTCTTTCTTGTTGCTTTATAATTTAACTCTGCAAAGGAGTTGCAATTTTATGATTGAAGATAAGTCTGCTCGAATTAGTAGAAATTATGCCTAAGTGGTAATCAGGCTTTCAAAATTTGTTGTTACAAGAATTGTCTGCTACATTTTAAACTACAAATAAAAATTTAGAGACGATGTCAATATTTCCTTTCTTTTTACTTATTTTTAGCGGAGGGGCAGGACTTGTTAAATTTCCAAATATTCATTATAATTGATCTTTTTCTCCACAATTAATTCCTCAAATTCCACGTGACTTAACTTTTCGTAGCAATTCAATTTAATTTCGTGTTACTTAGCTTCGATTAGCACAAGCAGTGCCATCTTCAAGCTATCAACATATTTCTCTTTCTCCCCTACATTACTTACAGGAATTTCAACCTCCAAACTAGACTGGAAGAAACGATTGTTGGAAACATTTGATAGGAGAGGGAAGCGATCGGTCGATCGATCGATCTGATTGATCTTTCTTATCTTTTCGTGAATACATTATTTTTCCATCGGCCAATGCCATTTTTACATTGTCAGCTGGAAAAAACTTTTGACATGATAAATCAATAGATTTTTTTATAGAATTTATTGAAACACGCATTTGCACATGCATGCGTGCATGCATTTGTCTGTCTGTCTGCCTTAGTGAATGCATGCGCTGATCGTCTGTAAGCAGCTGATTAAATTGGAATTTATTAAAACGCAAAAATAAAACTATATATATTTGCTCAGTGCAATCTCAATAGTGAAATGAATTCTTGCCCTTCGCGTCCATTCCCATTCTTCTGATTTATTATTATTTTTTGCAAATGATGAAATTTGCACTTCCCAATTGCATGTGAATGAATGTTTCACTTAAATCATGCTCATTTGAATACTTAAAATTTGGAATGGTGCGAGGGAGTATGTGAAATGTTTCGAAAACAAAGTACCCCTTCCTTTTTTCACTGCGTTTCTTTATTAGCATCCGTTTGCCTAAAAGATAAGCCACATTTTTCTGCAAACAAAAATCTTCATCGTTCCAGTCAAATGACCAATCAGTCAATCCAATCTCAACTGTATAACAGTTATTTCAATTCTGATCCGTGCAGATGTCAATGTTGAAAAAAAAACTGAATATTTATAGAATTACCGCGAGAGAGATTACAGTCTGGAGTGGTAGAAGGGTAGTGTTTCCAAGCTAAATCATAACTTTTCAACTTTGAAGCATAAGTATTTTGATTTTTAGTTCTTTTAAATGTTTCTGACGAGAGAATTATTCTTCTTCAACAAGTTCTCGACATCTGTCTCTTCTCTATGCAAAATTTTCTCATAATTATTGATTCCATAGATTATTAAACAATTATTCAATCTCTCAACCAATTAAACTCAGAGCAGTAATTCAGTATCCAATAATAGCTCGTGTCGTTTACTTAATATCGACGATGTTATCCCTTTCATCACAACGGATTATGTGATCCCAATTGCTGTGACCTTTGAACTTTTTCTCTGACTAACGATTGTTATTTGCGAAAAACACTTGCCATACACATGTTGTTATATCATAAATCTTTAGTAGCTTGTGTAACCTCTCCCTCCCATCTTCCATTTCTTTCAAGGTACTCAAATGTAAAAGAGTAAGCGGGGGTTGATGGTCGAGAAAAA